TTCGGTCTACGGATTAACAAGTATCATATTGCTTAATTGTGTAAAATATAAGTAGTGTGTATTAAATAATACAAGTATAAAAGGACATAATAATAGTGCAAAATTCAACACAAATATATATTTACTTGTATTTTAAGATAGTATTGTATATAGGATGTAATTGTAGCACTAAAATTTTATGTCTTGGCATTAAAATTTTATATTAGTAACGATCGTCACAAATAGACAAACGAAACTTAAATATATGTGTATGTAATTTTCTAGATTTTACAAGCTCATCGTCCATTACGTGTATTACTTTATTGTTAGCAACTTTTATTTTTTTTTTTAATCTTGATTTTACTTTCAATGTGCACGGAAAAAACAGCCTTTTATGTTTCAGAGAATAAATGTAGAAACTATTTATTATTTGGTGGATGTGATGATTCCCAGGTTAAATAGTGATATTTTTATATTGACCTGACAAACTCATTTTCTGTCTTGAACTCTCCATATCAATTTCAAAAAAAAACTGGGAACCAAGGTGTGCAGCTAGTACCAGTCGTCTATTATTTATTTCAAGAGCCTTTCTTAGATTCTTTAGCCAAGCATATTCATATTCTCCAAGAAAATGACATACTCTTCATACGGTACTAAATTCTGAATATTATGAGTATTTATGTAACAGTTTCATTTTATCATTCGATAAATATACATGTGATGTGTTTGATCTCAAACTTTTGTTTTTAAATTGGCTGTGGCTCTTGGAACTTTTATATCATTCTCCCAATAAAAGCCAAGAAAAAATTGTAATATCTTTCGTGAAGCTTACATATCCTCATTCATTTGTCCATTAGATTCTACAATAATAACAACAAATACTTGCTAATTTTCACTTTTATTTATTTTCTTGGATTTTTTCTTTTTCATAAACAGTTAGAATTTTGCTTTCATCCCCCAGATCTTTTGATATTCATCATAGACAGAATATACATATTTGTGAAAATATCTACTTCCTTAATATGGAGGGATGTTTTCCTTTTGATTGGCTAAATTTAATTTCACATGTGAATTACAAATTGAATTTTGCACCTACATATAATTTCAAAATAGACAAAGTGAATGATAAATCTATTACAATTATCATTGAAATGACAAACAATTGCATCACCCAAATAATAAAATAAATAAATAGTTCCATCCTGAGCGCCGAGGATCAAATAATTTTTTCCTTCCCAATTGCATAGTTCCTTAAAATAAATCTGATGACAATGATCATGGATGGATGGTCAGGTTAAATAAAATTTCCCTATTCACAAATTTGCAATCGCAAATCATTCATATCTCTGGAATTCTTTCTACAGATGAAGAAATTGAAACACATTGGAAGGCTTTTTTTGGACAAGTGGGAGTCTGCAACCTGGATCACGACCTCCTGAGTTACAATGAGTTGAAAATTCCCAATATTACAACTCTTCAAAATTCTGCAACCTCCTGAGCTGGTAATTTCTTAGTCGCAGAGCCATCTTTGCCTAGAGGTAGGATGGTTGCTGGTAACTTTTTGGCCTTCTCCGAGTAATAATATCAGTTTAGGTGCTTCGTGGGAAAATTAGGATTCACAAAGCTGATACAGTTTCCAGAGCTATGCTTTCCTCTGGAATTTAGTTGCATCATTGTATCGTCGGAGGTGCAGGCCAGGGTAGCCTCAAGTACGTGAGGAAGATGAGAATAATTTAATGTTTTAAATATTCAATGTAGTGTACTTTACATCTGTAAACTTCTGATAATCAAATGTTGTATACAGAATGGTTTCATCATTGGTGTTTCCTAAGAAAACTTTCCATCTTCAACAGTCGTATTGTCATCTTTTCCTGTATTATTATTCTTGTTATTATTATTAATGATTACGAAAAGCAAATACACCAATCATTATAATAATTGCCTAGAAGACATGACAAACTCGCTCCATGTTTTTAAAAAAAATATTTATAAACAATAAATCAAAATTCATTATTAGCATAATAGTAATCGCAGGCATTCGTTTTATCACATTAATTAATTCTTTATGTTGTGAAAAAATTGGACATGATTAAAAATTTATTGTAAAACTGGTAAGAGTATAATTTTTCGTTAGTTAAAAGGCTTTGGTGATTTGCATGTCAGTTCTACAGTGCAAATCACTTAGTCCCACAACTTTTTATTGGTCGTGTAGATTTTCAAATTCTCCAAAAATGGAAATGCAACACCCAAAAATAAATCGTGTATTTGAAGCCAAGACCTTCCTCTGCAAAATCACGATTTCATCTCATTGGTATGTCATGTTGTTGTGGAGAATTTGAGCTTCAAAGTTGCACAAGTTTACCGAATTTACTATGTTTTAGCCCTGAAATGGCGTGTTACACACAAAAAAGTTAATATCAAAAATAGGCGAATTGAAAGAAAATAAAAATAAAATTTTTTTTTTATATTGCTGATCTTTTATCACATGAATTTCCCAGACATGAATCAAAAAAGAATTTTACAACAAATAAAAATCATGTGACCATAAAATTTTTATTGCATTTTTGATTGGGAATTTTTCCCAAAATTGGCGATGTGGCGCAGAAAGTTGTGGGACTAAGTGACTTGCACTATACTCATATAATAATAACAGTAAAAAATAAACAATTTGTTTATGCTCAATTAATTTTTAATTTTTTTTCTTTAAAAAAAATTCCACGTCAAGAAAAAAGAACCAAAGGAAAACGAGATGAAAGGAGCGAGTAAGTGTTCTAGCTATTATTGTTTTTGCGAGCTATTCTAATTATTATTAAAGGAATGGTGGTGGCGATTATTGCTCATTCTATTTTTTTTTTTCATCATAAGTAATGTTGATAACGTTGGGAGGATTGAAGAAAAAATTCAAGTGGTAGTCAGATGCAGGTGAGTTTTACAAAAGATAAAACATCAACATCAATTCGACTAAACATTATTGATTATTGTTAATCAATACTTTGAAAAAAAAAATTTTTTCAAATTAAAAAGCAATGTTTAGAAATAGAAAAAAATCAAATCACCAATTGTTATAAAGACTATGCTTTGTGAAGTACAAATACATTTAAAAATTGAGGATGCATCATGTAAAGTTACACATTTGATAAAGTGTTTTGGAAGAAGCAGATCAACAAAATATATTCAACTCGTGGTCACCCCAATATTGGATGAGGTGTTGAACAGATTTAATCATGCCTTATTTGCATATGGCCAAACATCAACAGGTAAAACATATAAAACATATACAATGGAGGAAAACTTGGATGTTATAGTTAACAATGATGGTATTAGCAATGACCGTGGCAGCAGTGGTGGTGGCAATATGATTGATTATTGGTCCAAATGCTGGTGTCATCCCACGTTCCCTTCAACATATTTTTGAAGCCATGGAATCAGAATCTACTGATTATTCAATGAAGGTCCCATATATTGAATTGTATAATGAAAAATCGAAAGATCTATTGTCTAATAATGGTGAGCAAGAATTGAAAATTATAGGTGATGCTAACAATAAAGCCATTTTACACAGATATGAAGAGGTTTCTTTAAACAATGTCGCTGAAGGTGTCAGAGTTTTGAAATAAGGATCCATCAAAAGACAAACTGCTTCGACTAATTATAATGATAAATCAAATAATTTTGTATCAATTAGTAACTACATAAAACACTAATACATTCATTAATTGAATATATATATGTGTGTATATATGATATTATTAATAATAGTTGTTCATACTCAATATTAACAATAATATTTCATATTAAAGAATCAACACCTGATAGTAAAATTTTGTTGAAAGTTGATAAAGTTAATTTGGTTGATTTATCAAGAATATAATATATTGATTGTACAGGTGCTGATTCAAAAGAGGCTGGGAAAATTAACAGAAGCTTGTTAACACTTGGTTGATGCATTGATAGCCTTAATGAACATTTTCCACACATTCCTTATTATGTAAAACTAAATGTTGTCAAGTACAAATAATTAATAATCATTATTCTTGTCATCAAGAGAAAGTAATCTGATAAGATTATTACAGGACTTACTTGGAGGTAGAATAAAACTTGCATTATTGCAACTATATCTCCAGTAAAATCAAAAATTGAAGGAACAGTATCAATATTGGAATATGCAGCCTGAGCTATAAATAAACCAGTTTCTGATCAGTTTGTAAATAAAAGGCCTGATTTAGCAATAATAGTAAGAATAGATTTCTTATCTTGCATGAAAAATAAATTTTATATACATACTGTATATATATATAAAATAAATTTATATATCAATATTATTGATAGGCTGAACTCAAATGTAAGAATGGGGAATTAATTATTGAAAACATGCAACTTTGTAAGGAACTAGATATTTATATTCTCTCTTCATTTTATTGTTTCGTTTCCTTTTCATAATGTAATGAAGAGGTGGGTGTAATTTGAAAAAAAAATAAAATGGCAATGAAGAAATAATCATTGTCATTAAAATAATCATGATTTATAATTATAGGTCGAAAGAGTTGTTAAATGACGTTGTCGATGTTAATATCAAAGAGATATATATTATCAGTATTTCAAGTTTTCTATTTAATTTCTAGCATTATTAATATTATTGATTTCTTTAATTTTTAAAGATAATTATTAATTTCTATTAAAAGATAAAGATATATATATTGTTATTATTAATTTTTATTAAAAGATAAAGATATATATTATTGGCATTATTATTATTAATTTCTTTTTTATTTGTATCAAAAAAAAAAAAATTCAAATTTAGTATACAGGTTTTCTTTTGTTTGAGCATTGAAGAAAATCTCTAATAAAACTATTTACAATATTATATAAATAAATAAATAATCATAATCATAATAATTATAACTATTATCACTATTAAAATAATAATAACAGTAAAGGAATCATTCTTAAAAAAAATAGTTACATAAAAAAAGAATAATAATTAAAAATTTACAAATACTTTTCAATATTATTGTAAATTATTAAAATCTTGGTCGATTATCATATTTATAACGATTTCCTGGATAAGCTGAATTTAATGGTGGTTTTGGCGATGAATGAGTTAAATGTGATGAATTTGGTGAATGAATTAAACGTGATGAATAAGATGATTGATGTGGTTGATTTGAAGGTTGATGTGATTGATATACTTTATTTGAAGAATGGTGTGATTGGTGTGATAAATATTTTGAATTTTTTGGGCTTGTTGCAACATTGTTATAGTTAGATTTAGTTTGCGAGTTTCCAAAGTCTAACGGTGATGAATAAAGATCAATGACAGCTACAAAATTAATCGACTAATTAAATTTATGATTTATCATAATAAATAACAACATTTTTACTCAGCTAACGACCCATACCTCTAACACATACAGGACCACCACCATATATGTATTCAAAATAGCTCCAAACCCTTTCATTAACTCCTCTATAATCAATACCTATTTTCATCCCAGGTCTTGGTGTTCCATCTTTTTTCAAAAATGTTGTATTATCAATATGACCTGGTGGAGGTGCTATAGTTAAATTAAGTATTAATATTATCATTCATCAATATATCTATCATCAATAATAATATGTGAATATTCACCTCCAGCTTTAAAATTATGCCATTTTTGAAGCCATACTGAACTAATTAGAAACCAATACTCTCTTTTTTGTAATGAATTTGTGTCTAATTGTTGAATATCACGAGCTTCCTTTTGACGTCTTTTATCCATTAATCTTTCTTGTTGCTTTTATTTTTTACCAAAACAATTATTATAATAATAATAATAATAATAATAATAATAATAATAACACCAGCCATATTAACAATAGTAATAAATTTACCTGGCATATAGAACATCCTGCCGATTCAACATCAGATATAAGCAATGGTGGACTACCATCAGTTCCATATTTGTCGACCAGCATTGAATAAACATTGATTGGTATTTTTACTACCATATCATGTAATTTAGGATATAATTTCACATTGATACCTTCAATATGAAAAGGTATCATAAGTATAATTATAAATGTTAATTGTGAATGTATTGCATGAGAAGAAAATACACACCTCCATGTGAACACATGAAATCATAATTTGAAATTGGACCAGGCTAATTATAATAATATTATTATTTAAATTCAAAAATGAAAGTAATACATTATAATTAATAATTAATCAACTTACTGTCATCATAAATTGCCATCTATTAAACCATAATCTTGAAACCCAACAATGTGTTCCATTTTCAGAAATTTCAGACTAAAAAAAAATAATTTAATTACAATCAAACTTCTACCCTGAAGGAGTGATTATTTTTTTCCTTAATTAAAAACCCATGTTTAGTTAAATTCAAATACATACATTATTCCTTATTAGATTCTGGATTAATACTCTCTCTTGATCTTTTTCAGGATTTTTTTTACTATAGAACAATATATAAGCTTCAATCTTCATTATCTCGTCAGCAGATTTTTTAGTGACAAACTGAAACAATAGCAGTAATTACAATAATTTTAATCTCCTATCAACATATTTAAAATTAAAAGTATTTAGTAAGGAGAATAACTGACCATATCATCAAATTCATACCAATTTCCATCAATGGGATTTTTGGCATAAGCAATATAGTGACCACCTAAATAAATCAAATAACAAAATTAGTGACAAATTCCTGGAATCTAATATGTTAAGGAAGAAGGAAATATATATATTGAATATATTACCAGCTAAGCCACCACGATGATGAATTAATGCATATAAATCATATTTAGTAACTTTTAATGATTCTCGTTTTTCACTAATACCTGGACTATCACAATTTTCCTTTGATACTGATTCCTTACAATATGGTCTCATGTCCAAATTTTCCATTGGAAATTGGACATGTGTTGCAATTTTTGATGAAACATATGGGTCAAAGTGAAATCTTTTCAGTTGAATACAAAGAATCTATTTTGGTAGTATAAATATGTAAATATATATATATGCATGTATCCACAAATGTATGTGTATACATATATGTTTTTTGGAAAAAAAACCTCAGGTAATTGAGTAATCCTAAGTGTTTTCTGACAATCATTCAATGATTTACACTGTTCACATTGATATTTATCTTTGCCTGCAAGATTTTCAGTTGCACAAAATTCTGCTAGACAATCATGAAGGCTTGCATTATGACCACCAATTCTAGTAATGAACATTAAAAATATTAATTATTGGTTATGTAATTTTTATATTGTTAGATACATGTAATGTATAATATCTTACCCAAGAGCATTTTTTAATGTGCCAACAAACAATCCCATAGATAAAGCACTATCAATATTTCTTGATTTATATTTTTTATTTATTTGAATTGATAAATCATAAAATCGATCTTCCTTGAAATAATCCTAAAGTTTTTATATTTATTTGTATATTATGTCCCAAGATAAAATAAATTTGTAATATTCATGTTGATAATAATAAAAATTAACAAACCTTTTTGCATTTTAAACATTTAATTTTGCTCTCAAGCAACCCTTGAAAAATATTACTTATAATACTTGTAGAAAGTGAGTGATTATCAACAATATCAGAAGGTGATGACTCGTACACAGCATCATGAAAATGGTTATTATTATTATTATGACTATAGTTACTTCTAGCATAACTTGATGACTTTGCTATATGGTTGCTGTTGTTGTTTGTATTTTCATTTATTTGATCATTTGATATAGTATTTTGTGGGTAAGGAAGTTCTTCGTGAAGTATATCCAGTACACAACGAAGAAATTCTTGAGAGTCCTTTATAATACAAATACCATGAATAACATGGTAAATAAATAAATATTGTTATTACTTTTACCATAATAATATTAATAATCAATAAACCTGTTGTCCATAACCTCGAAAAGCTTCATTGTAATTTTTTATCTCGTCAATTAAATCACTTGGAGAATATAATGTGCTACAAAAAAAATTATTGTCATTTACTATCATATATATATATACTGTATATCATTAAAACAAACCAAAAGAAAAGAGGATATAATTTTCAATCTCTAACTAATTTTGCTCCAATTCTCAAATTTGATCCCACTTGAAATAGTCTATGCTATTCATCTATAAAATATATATACTAAATTCATTATTAACTAACCTGTTACCATTCCACATTGATCTAAAAAACCTGTGAAACCTTTCAGCTAATTTATATTCATGTAATCTTGTATTAGTGTGAAATTTTGGTATATAGGATTCACAATAACTAAAATAATTTGTTAATGATGGCCTACAAAAAAAAACCAAAAAAAAAAAAACATACAATTAACTATACATATACATAGTTTTCAATATGAAATGGATATTAATAAATATTATATATAATAATGATGATTAACATTACGTATTAGATAAACATTGAAGAGCAGCACTACATATAAAATTGTTTACAAAATTTATATTAATATTAATTGGTAAATTTACTTTTTAAATTTAAATATAACCTAATATTAAATCTTCACCTTGCATAGCAGGTATTTCCCAAATTCTTTAATCCAACAAGACCTTTAATAAAATTTACACATATATATTATTATTATTCATTCAACTATTAATTTATTTGGTTAGAAATTCCATTATAATACAAATTTACCAGGAACATCAATTGTTAGATTATTAAAACTTTGATGTGATTTATGTTTTTTAACTTGCTATAATTTGGTTTAAATAAAATATTATTAATAAATTTTCCAAAAAAAAGGAAAGAATATAAATCATCAAAAATCAGCAAAAAAAACTCAATGTGATATATAATTACCAGACATCTAACAATGGTTTTTAAGAATTTTTGCATTTCCAATGATAAGAAATTCTTTTCAAATGGATTCAATTCTACATTACAAGCTTGACACCATATTGCTAAATTACGTGGATTTACAAATATACAATGACAGTGATTTTTTTTCTCTCCCTAGTTTATCATTATTATAAGTTATTCGTATTATTCATTATCAGATCAACCAATAAACATCTAATTTACACTTTTTCTAACCTTATGATATCCTTCAACATGAGCATGCAAATGTCCTGTAGGGGAGTTTCTCTTACAAACTATTACACGACAATTACTCTTTAGAAAAAGATTGTTATATTTATTACATGAACATACGGATGTAGGTATAATAATTAAATGTTTTTTTAAAAAAAAAGAAATAATTCACGTTTAAACAAATCCATATTCTTGGAGTTTTTATATCACAAGAGTCGCAATGTAAAGTACCATTAATTATTTGTTTCTAAATATATAGTTTTTTAAAGTATATATTTATTTATGTGCGTTACAGTTTATATGATTTAGATGAAAATGTAAAGTCAAAAAAAAAGCAACCTTGAAAGAAGAAGAACCAATTTTAGCTAAGGGAGATCCTTGTTTAACTATTAAATCAACGTGTGGACAATAAAACATTTGTAATAGATTCTATAATATATATATATGCTTGTAATTGAATGAATAATAAATGATAATGTATTATTTACTTTTTGGAAAAATAATAAATCAGTGTTGAAATCCTTCTTTTCGTGGAACATTAATAATTGCCTCGGTTACACAATAAAAAGGTTAAAATTAAATAGAAATATTAATATCGGATATCAAATGAACAAATCTACTTATCTAAAATTGGTCAAGTGCTGAATATCTTTCTGTTGTTGTACCTGTCACTATTTTTGTTGACGATTGGTTTGTCAGAAAGTCCTTCTGATGAATCTCCACTAAAATTCTAATTTAATTAATTAATTTTTAATTTCATTGATTACAATAATAATTTCATATTTTACAACTTCATTATTTTCTAACTTAACCAGATTTCGCCGGCATATTTTGCCTAAAAAACTAAACTAATTAATTTTAATGACAAAATAACTTTCGCAGCAAAGAACTTATTGAAAAAGAAGTTTCCGATTATTTGCTATAAAATCAAGCTTCAGGGAACCCTTATTCCAATTTTCGATACTCATCAAAATAATCTCTAAAACCGAAAAATCATCCAACCTTTTGCTTTCTGATACTAGCCAATCAGAGAAATTCTTTTTTATTACTACTGGCTTTTGATGCCTTCACTTTTAATTAATTAGACATTGCATTAAGTGGGATTAAATGGAATGGTCTCTGAAGTTTATCATGTTTTGTAAAAACCGATTGATTCACTAAAAATCACGTGACAACGTTATTAGGGGTGATACTGTAATAGTAAACAATCATGAAGAGTAGAATTCATCTCACAGAACATGAAATAAAGACGATATCTCCTGATAAACAAAATGAAGGATAATCAGATTCGTTGAGTCGAAAAAAATTATGAACAAATAATAAAATAATTCTTCATATACAAAATCAAAAAAAGATGCCTTCTTTTTGGTACTGCCAGGGAAAAACGTGACTGGCATGACTTAAGCGAAGAAATTAAGTATATCAAGGCCAAGCAAACCATAAAACGGATTCAGATCTTAATATTTGTAAACTTGGACTTTATAGTAAGTTTATTAAGTAATTTTAATATGTCGTATTTCTTTTGCAAAAGAATATTTTTATATTATAATCCATTCCATTTAACAATTTGTAAATATTTTTATTAAAATTCTTAGTATTTTATTTATATTATTAATAATTAAAAGCAATCTAATTAATAATTAATGTCAATACATTTAGATGGGAAAAATATTAATATTAAATTAAAAGAATGATATAAAAAAAAATTATACATTAAAAACTAAAAAAAAAAGGTAATGAATTCTATAATATATATATAATGTATAGTATGTATACATAACAAAACTTGTTTAATTATTAAATAAACAAAAAGAAAAAGAGAAAATCATAAATATTACCCATCAGCCAAGTCAATTAAAGCTTTCCCAGCTTTTTATTTCTTGCTCTTAGTTTCTTTTTTAATTTTCTGTGTTTGTGCTTGTTCATCTTTAATCTTTTCTTTTGTACTATATTTGTCATGTGATAAGTAATATTATTATTAGCATTCTTATTATAGATTAATTTATGTGGCAATAATTGAAGTTTCCGTTGCTGGTAATGTGAATGTGAATTATGACGATATTTTGAATTATTAATTAAATTCAATTTTTTTGTTATTAATTTTGAAGTTTTTTTGGAGTTTTTTTTTAATTGATTTTTATTATCGTTAGCACTGTTATTCTCGACAATATTTTCAAAATCATCAGAAAATTGTTGTTTTCTAATTCTTGATTCAATATCATTTAGAAATTTGTTTGCTATTTGTTGAGATTCTTCTGGTGTCAATGATATCAAATTTTGTAAAATATAAATTGGTGAAGGTGACGTTAAATATGTAGAGATGCTGCTATTACTACTGATATTATTATTATTAGACGAGGGTGATGATGATGATGATGATGATGATGATGATGATGATGAATTGTAATTTGATGAAAAATCACCTTCAAAATCTATCGATTTATATTATATAAAATATTAATTTTATCAACTAAAATATAATTCTTTTATTTACAATTATTTTATTTTTTAATTTACCTTCTTCTTCCTCCTCGTATATTTTTTGTTGTTGTTTTTCCAATGATTGATTATTCAACATTTCACTACCAATTGTCAATAAAGGTCGATGTAAAGCATAAAATGTACTTTGAGCTAAATCTCTAGGATGAATATAATTAACTTGTACAAACGATAGCTCTTGTTTCTGGGTTGAATTGGGTGTATTAGTTCGTTTTGTATTTGAGGAGGAGGATGAGGATGAAGAGGATGAAGAAGAGGAGTAATATTTTATAGCATTTATTGATTGAATTTTTGAACTGCAAAATATTTCATCTGCACTAGATTGATGAACAAATGTTTTTTTAAGGTTATTCAATAATAACCTTTGACGGAGCACTGTTAATAAAGTCATTTTTATTGAAGTGGCCTTCAAGAAACAAAATGTTTATATTAAAGAATGAAATTTATTATTTTTATTTTTATTTTTATTTTTATTATTTTAAAATTGTCGCCCCCGACCGATCTGTCCATAAACAAAATTGATTGTCTCAAATCCAGGTCATTGATTGGCTGGGAAATGGGGCATTTTATTTTTTGTTGTTACACGATTCCAATAATAGTAATTGTAATAGTAAGTTCACTCAAAAAGGATATTAATTATTTACAATAAGCGAATAAAAATACAAAACAAATAAATCCTTGAAAGGACAAACGAAAATATAGATATTATTTATAATCATTGTTTAGAAAATATTGATTGTGGTTATATTACTACTTTTATATTTTTTAATTGGTAGAGTTTTCCGGTATTACTATACAATTCTATCATAAAATGGGGCATACTGCAACCAGACAAAATGAACATTGATATTACCAAGGATTCCAGGGATCAAAATTTAGTCATTTATAATGTGATCATAATAAACAGTTTTATAATATGGGGCATGCTGCAACAAAGTGAACATTGGTATTACTAAGGACTTCAGGGATCAAAATTTAGTCATTGATAATGTGATTATATAATTAACAGTTTTATAATATCTTATTTGTTATCTTAAGTGATATAGAATTGCCCCTATATAAAAATAGTCAATATGAAGCTAATTTACATTAGATCTACCATGGAATCCAAGAATTACAGTACTATTAGAAGTATTTTGAAGAAAGAGCAAGGTGAAAAAATTGCACCTTATGTTTTCAAAATAAATGATACTCAAACAAGCTTATCTAAGGAAAGAAAGAATTACCTATGAAATGATAAATACTGGTCGCAATTTTTGATGGTGGTTGCAACCATAGTTGAAACATATAAGAATGGTTCGTGAAACCGGATTGCGTCCACCTTTGCGACCACTTTGCCTTCCTTTTTTGGATTGCGACATAGAACACTATATGAAATTTACCAAGAAAGAAAAATAATAAATGTTAGAAAAAGAAAGCAACATGATGATGCATTATTACCTAATAAAAAACAAAAATCTTTAAAAGGAAAATAATTACCATTTTTTTGATAATTGGAATGAATTTTAAATTACTTTTTTATTTTTAATCAAGATCATCTTTTAGTCTCTTTGACTTCAAGGTGACATTCAACTTTTTCTTCTTCCTCCTCAAATTTGTTTTCAAATGATCAGCCAATAATTCCTTCTCTTCCAATTCTTTTTCTAGCTCTTTGATCTTCTCCTTGGAACCTACACTCTTTTCCATATTAAAATCATATTTTTAATTTGCTTCTTCAACTTCTTTTTTAATTCTCTAATTTCTTTTTGTGGGTTTCTTTCAATTTCTTTATTTTCATCTTTTTCTTCTAACACCTTTATTTTTCTTTCTAATTCTTTTTGTTCTTTTAACTTCTTTTCAATGCTAAGGTAGAGGGCTTCTTCTGTTCTATCTAACTTAGAAGTGCTTTCTTTTAAGCCTTTTTCAACTTGATGTAATTGTTCAATTTGATTAATAACTTTTTCTTCTCAATCTTCTAATCTTTCTAAATTATTTAACTCTTGTTGTTCTAATTTTATATTTCTTTTATTTTTTTACTTTTTATTATTGCATTTATTACCATAATATATTATTTTAGTACACGTGCATAAAAATTTTATATTGGTTTTGGACAAGTAATATCTTTGTATTCATCTTTCACAATGGGCAAATAGCATAGTGGAAGTTTGTTGTTACACGAATTGTCATACAGAACTCATTGCTCCTGAAACTTCACCAGTATATAGTGTTCCTCTCTAAAATGGAGATCAAGTTCAGATCTAATTCAAATCCAGTTTATCACTTACTTTTTTATTGCCAGAATATTTGCCTGTATTGTAAAGCTACGTTGCACAATATAAAAATTAGTGTAACATTTCAAATTTCCACTATGCTTGGGCAAATATTGTTATAAAGGTATTCTTGCCTTTTATAATCCAAAGTATGAAAATAGATAAAGATTTAATTTTTGTGGTAATTTTGGAACACTTGTTTTTTAAGCTTTTAACAAATTAAATTCAATACAACAATCATCTGAGCTCTGACAACTCCAGGTTTAATTGCTTCAAATAAAAAATGCTGAAACTTTTGAAACCGTTTAATTTTTTAAAGAAAATTCCCAAAATTGTTTTAATATCCAATTGTTGAAAACCTTTCCAATCTTCATAACATTGAGTTTTATTTAATCCTGCTGGGCTAGATCTTTTCCTTACATCAACCATATGGTCCAGATAATCTATCCTTGTCTTTCTGTAAAGTTTTTTGGTCAAGCCAAAACTACCATCACATTTGAATTTGGTATGCTCAGAAATCATGAAATTCAATTCAATGCTTCATAATAACCACAAATTACTAAATATAAATAAAATAAATAGCCACATTATTTTTATTTTGTCCGCCAGCATTATCACATGTAATCTTTAAATGCTTTTCACACTTGTTCAATTTCTTAATTCCATTCAAAAATCATACTAAGAGTGCTATTTGGTCCTTTTCATTTCATCAAGTGCATAATTTATTTGTCTCTCACTAGAATAAAGTTTGTTTCTGCAACTGATTCAAAATTCTCCAACTCAGGAGGTTACAATTTCAGGGTTACAGCCCTGCTCTGAATTGTAACCTCCTGTGTTTGAAAAAAGTTGCAGATTCTTGTTACTTTGATGGATCTGAATGTTTATGTGCACCCGATATCACAACTTTGATACATAGTTGCGACCTGGTCACAGATCCATCCTTACCCAAGAGATAGGGTCGTTGCAAGTGACTTTTCGGCTAGCATGCCAGTAGCATTCTCTGTTCTGGTGCTGTAATGGAAGTTTAGGGAAAGTGTCATTGACTGTTAGTGCAGTCTTGGTAAACTCTAGGGCCACGTCACCCCTGGAATTCGGTTGCATCATTGTATCATCGGGGCACACTAGTCAGATTAGCCTTGTGTACATGAGAAACGAGTGAGAATGACTGTAAAGTGCTCAAGGTAACGTGTGTGCTTCAATGTCTGACAATCTCCGATAATCAAACATTTTGTTTCATACTCGACTTGTTTCTTTTTCAATGGTGTGCTGTCTTGACATCTTGTAATTATTTATTTATATTAATATTAATATTGATACGAAAAGCAAAATACCAATCGTTTACCATCTTGAAGAGACTCTTATAATTACCCTGCGAGTTCTGTTCCACGTTTTGATTTCAATTAAAATATTTATAAAATAAGAGGCATATATCAATACAAATTAAAAAATAGTTACTTCTAGTTAGTTATTAACACATCTTCTTTAGGAGAACCACATTTTGTTATTTTTGGACTTTGTCAAAAATAATTGTTTTTCAAAAAAAAATCTTTGTAGAACACAAGTGCCAATAATAATCTTATTCTTTTTTTTAACGCGTTTATCTTTTTAAAAATAAAAATTTATAATTATGACAACAAAAAAGAAGCAAAGTATTTGTTCCGAAAATCGATGAATAAATGTTTATCATATGAATGGTGGTGGTAATCGTCGTCATTCTAGTTATTAAATAAGAATGATTAAAATTTTTACTTTATGTTTTATTTATTAGTGAAAATCAAGAAAATCGAGATGTATGTAAATTATAAAGTTTGCTTTTAATAAACTACCTTCAAGTCATCATTCTGGGCTTATTCAAAGAGTCTGCAAATCTTGTAGACAAGATAATTATTAATAAATTTTATTTTTTACTTATAAAATGAATCTTTAACTTTTTTATGATACAAAGATCCAACAAGTTTCCACTATTACCGAAAGTTTGATAAAGAGACAGCAACAAGTATATGACCTCGTTGTTAGAGATAAAGAAACGTTTCTTCACGGGGCAGCAGGGGAAAAATTTATTAATTATTAAAAATAATAGATACTCTAAAAAATATGTTCTGGAAAGTACGGTTTCTGTGACTGCAACCACAGGAATCTCAGCTGTTGAACTAAGTGGGACAACCTTACATTCATTCTTTGGGTTAGGATTGGACAATTTATTACTCTCATCATCATTACCATCACCACTTCCGTTAGTTTTTTCTGAAAACACGTCAATCAAATCCTTCTTATTCTATACTATTTATTTATAATTTATTTTTTTGAATAAGGGAAAACAAATACATATAAATTCATATATTTAAGTGTATATATTTTTAAATTTAATAGTTTAATAGCAGTGAAATAAGATTTAAATTAAGTCAATACTTTTCTTCTGAAAATTCAAAAGATACAAATTATGGTTCTTTTCTAAAATATTGAAGTAATGACACTTATATGTATGCATTATTTTAATATAAATTTTTTTGGAAAAAAAAAGGAAAAATATCTGGTAACTCTTTTTAAAGGAAAATCCGGATTTTTAAAGTACTATTTCCAGCCCTGCTTGTGACTTTAATAGACCTGCCTTACAAAGAAAGGATCTGACAAATGATCAGGTAACATAAATACTAATGTTTTTTCTTCTATATAGCAGGTTCTCAGGTAACAAATGAAACTATAAATAAGGTGGATTTATGAGGTGAATTTCACCCTTATATTTTTTAATAGAAAAAAAGTCTACAATTACAATGGAAAGAGAATTTTCAGTTAAATTCGGTAAATAAATTCTTCCATTGACTTATTAATGTATGGAATGCATGGATATAATCTGATAAAACAATGATACTTTTTTACATAGTGGGCTTGATAACATTTATCTCACTGTTCATAATGGGGGTGGTGAAAGATTTGACAAAGGAACACTAAGCCAAGGAGAACCTACTATGCTGTAAGTTGCATGATTTCTCTAATTGTTTTACAAGGAAGCAGTTTTTGTTTTTCTTGCTTTGCAGTCACAAAGTGGCTATATATCTCATTTCCACCACTCTATATAATCATAGGTCAATTCTAAAAAATAAAAAGGATTCATATTTAAAGATCAATGGCATTAAAATCAAGCTTAATAATGTTATTGAAACCCTGGGACAACCAGAAGAACATACAAAGGAGGGTTACAATTAAAATTGGAATACAAAGATGCTGGTAGCACCAGTATTAGAAGATAATAATGTATATATATTTTTATGTATATGTTTATATATATATTTAATAAATTTTATGTGCCTCTTTGAGTGCTAGTTTTATAATTCATCAATTACAAGATGTGGATATATTCAAAAGTTTGAGTTAATAAAAATTACATGAGTGTATGAAAAAAATTCACACTGATCACTTTGTCAAGAAAAATTTCTTCAACAAAGCTATATCACAAAAAAACCACATGACTGAAATTTGCCAAGAAAATTCTTGATCATATGCAAACATTGATGACCATATAATGTAATGAAACATATATAAAAATGAACCTTTTCAGGTAAAACTTTATTAGGTTCTTAAGAGAAAATTATTTTTTATTACTAATCTCAGCTAACCATACTATACTATTATAATAGATTTTCATCTAGCTTAAGATGTATTGACGAATCCTGGATAATGCTTCTAACACATCTCTTCTTCCATTTGGTTCTGCAAGATCAAAACCAACAATTGGATCACTACTATTCCCTGGCCATCTTAAAACTGTGATTGATTGCTGTTGTGGGCAATCTATAGCAAGTTCATTCCAATATCTTTTATTGATTGTAGCACAGTAAAATGTAACATAAGTGGAAACCACATGAACTACAAATATAGTCATATCACAAGCCCCATGAGCTTTACATATATTTTCATCCCCACAAGCAAGAATTTCAGCAATTATTTGGGGTTCCCCATAGTCATATGTTGGCTTAATGTTATTTAGATGTTTATTCTATTAAAAAGATTGTTTGAATTAGCAAAAATACAGATTTGTCAAATAATCAAGAACATACAGACCTCAACAACCAATAAAGAATAGTTTTGATAATTAATTACAAATTCAGCTTTTGCTGACAAAATTGCATTGCCAACGGAAAATTTAAATGTTGGATGTAATCTAAGTTTGAATGTAATGCAATCTTTAAAAAACTATTAAAGTATATCATAAACAAAAAACATTTCCACCAATACTAACTTAACCACCAAGGGCCATTTATCAAAGTCAATAACACGAAATATTAAATTGGCTACCAATGTATCAGTAGAAGCTTCGCTTGTTCCTATATCAAGTCCTGCATTCTTGACAACTTTGTGCAATTTGTAAATGAATGTTTTAACATAATCATTTTGACATAATTGGTCAATATTTAGGTTTTGCCTTTCAAGCATAATACGGTTGACACCTGGGAGAATGTATTCTTGTGGAATGTTGACTATATGAATTTAAGTTGTAAGTATTGAGTTTGCTAAGAGGAATGTTGATACAACATACCATTTCTACTAGGAATAACCTTGTTTGCTTGCGTAGCTGAGCAGAAACTCACTCTCAATGAATGAGCATCTCAAGGATTGAACAATGATGCAGATTTGCTGAGAAAGTCTGGATCTTGTAGATGTTCTGAATTTTCACTACCACTGGACCTGGTTTGTGTCATGTTTTGTACTAAAAAAAAAGAGAAATTATCTTTCTGTGTATCAAGGATCTAAAAATAATTTTGTTGCATAGCCCCATCAAATGTGTACAACATACAGATTATCTGATTGATTATGCAGAGGGATTATCAAATTTGAATTTCTTCCTTTACTCAACCATTAATCTCTGAGAAAGATTCTGTCAAATTATTAATGGACTTCCTTCCAATTTTCACAAGGAAGTTATGGTCAAAGACTTTATTGGAGGTAAGTACACACTTATTTACTTGAAGAAGAATGTCAAGAAAGCTAGAACACAATTGTAGACTGGTCATGTACCACATTCCCAGAGTTCAGACAATAAATTTTTCGTATACTTCAAAGGCATAAGATCAGTAAAATGTTTATGGGGAATCATGAAAGGCTGTAGAATAATAAAAATGAAGCTGAAATACTTAAGCAAATTCCTATATGCTCATTCACTGATAATATGACTTTACAATGATATTATTTGTGGAAAATATATGCTTCAGGTAATATTGGTGGCAAGGATGACATTCGAGAATGGGGTATGGATAATGCTGATTGGGTTAAGCTTTGTGACATAGATTTTGTAGAAAGATTCAATGATCCCGAACCTTTAAAGCATTTTAGAGGTCTTGCTTATTACCAAATACAAGGTTCCAATGTGACAAATTCTATAGAAAATCTAAAAATCAAAGAATAAATCCAATGGGAAGATTCACATGATTCTATGGACCCTTCCTCAGTTGATTTGCATAAATTTTATTTGGCAAAACAGTGGAAAGTGGTACATAATCTTGTCCAATTGATAGGTTTTAGAGATATAGATGATACAAATATTCTTTCTGGTGATGATGTGGCAAAAGCTTTCAAACAATCATGGGAACAAATCATCAAAATTCAAGAAGATGCATTATTACTCTTTGGATTTAAGTCTCGGGCTAAGGAAACCCCTAATCTCAATGCTACAGTTAAATTGTTTAATGCAATAGTGGGTAATTGGTGTGGTTATGCTATCAAGAGTAAACAAAAAAGAGAAGGACCTAAGGATCAACAAGTATGGAAACAAATTTATTGGATTGACTGGCAAGCCATACAGTGGAACTGGTTTTAATAAAGTGAGAGCTCTGATTCTTCCACCATATAAACCAGAATCAGTTAATGAAATTCAAGAACTCTTTGATTCGATACCTATTACTGATACTAACTCAAAATTTACCAATTAATTCAATTAACCAATGATCTAGTTTAGTAGCGTACCTCTGGCAGGGGGTGTAAGGGGATTTTTGTTGTCTCTTACAATAAGTGTGGGGAAAAATTCAAATCTAAAAATAATACCTTGATACCTGGGCCATACAGGGTTTTGTGACTTGTAAATATATTTTGTTACACTGTTTCCTTTTTTAGAGAAAAAAGGGGTACCATAAAAAAATCCGCATACAGTCTGCCCTTGTGGCTGGACATATAAGAAAATTTTATTCAACATTCGTTGAAACAAGGTTACTAATCGCGTTTCAACGAAATTTTATGTTTTCATAATGTGTAACAACGTTTTTAAAAACTCGTTGTATCAAAAATTTAATTATACTTCGTTGAAACAAGGGTTCACTGTATATGTATTTACATTATGACATTAATTAGATTTGTTAATCAACTTATATCGAATACCCCAATATTTGCAAAAAAGAAAAGCATAATCCTGGATACCCTAGCCGGAGTTCAGGAATCATTGTACACAACTATTTTTTTTTTTATATATTAATATTTATAATGTTTTTTACATAAGAATAATTAAATATTAATAATAAATAAATTAAAATAAATAATAATAATTTAAATTTGTTTTTTTGTTATTTACAAAAAAAAAGAATCGAGAAACTATATAAGAGTTAACTATTTATATTAGGAGTTTTCTTAAGCCAATCGCTATTCCTTAACTCTTTCATTACGAAATGAGCAACATTTGCTCTACTAACTTTCGTGAAATTCATTTTATCATTTAATTTATACTGTTTAGTTAATTGACCGTTATACATTTTACCCGGCCTGATAATAGTCCAATCAATATGATCGGAATTGTTGATTACGATTGTTTCTTGTAATTTCTTGTCATTCAACATTTTACCAGAGAAAAGGTTCCCAAAAAATTTTTGCATCATATGAATTCTTGATGATGAAATTTCATTATTATTGTTGTTATCATCATTACTATCATCATGACCAATAACATTTTGAGACGTTACAACTATCAATCTACGAACTTTATGTTCAATCATACTTTCGATAATCAATTTTTGTGAACATGAACAAATTTCCATATTATCGGATGATGGAAATAAAAGTCTAGGCCCAATGCAATTGATCACCACATCTTGACCTTCGATCACCTTATCCAAATCTTTCCTTGACAAAACTGATCCTACCATTATTACCAGATTAGGATTACGAAGTTGATGTCTCGCAAACGGTAAATTAGAATCATTACGAACCAAAGCTGTAACATGATATGATGCCTCAAGCGCTTGGTTCACTACTTGAGTTCCTAATCTTCCTGTAGCACCAAGAACTATGAAAAAAAAATTTCTATTAATTCATATTTTTTTTTTAATAAAAAAATAAAGATAAAAAACTTTTTTCAGAAATAAATTTTTACCTAAAATATGTTTTCCACGCATTGTACTTGATGCAAAATCATCAGGATCAATAGTTATTGGTAAGACATTTGGAGAGCGAGAAATTATGTTGATTGCATTATGTTTATGATTTGCTGTTTGTCTTGATATTATTTTGGGAATTGGCATTTTTTTTTTTTGATAGATTTATAATATATTTATAATATGTAATAATTATTTATATATATTTACAACGAAATGTTAAATATTTTTTTTTGTTTTGTTTTTTTTTTTATATTTTAATTTTAAAGAAGGTGTAATAATAGTTGGAATTAATTTTATAATTTTAATTATTCGTGAAAAAAATCTGATTTTTTTTTTATTTTGTATTTTCGAATGGCCGCTTTTTTTTTAAGTTTTAAGGGAGTGGAAGAAAATTCCAAGCTCTTTTTGTAATTGTTTATACAAGGACAATTTATGAACAATATATTGTTTATGTATGTATGAAAAAAAAAACCGGTCAACGGGTTATTTTTATAAAAAAAAAAAATCAAATTTTTTTGAGCGGTAAAAATGTGATGGAAAAAAGAAAAAAGCAGTATTAAAGCAGTATTTGAGGAAATAATGAAATGACTCGGATGTAATGGTATTGGTGCTAGTAATTTACACGATAACAATGATAAAATAATTATGAAACTGTTTTTGTAATTATTGATTTGGTGAAAACAATGTGTGAAAACGAGGAGGAATAATGTTAACAAAACAATAAAAGCAAAAAAAGAAAGCTAGACCTTCGAATTGGGAAGGTGATTCCCTTGTTTCCAAAATTTGGTAGCAAAAAATTAAATTTTATTTGTTTTTTTTTTTTTTTTATGACAAAATTAATTTTATCTACTTGAAATCCTTTGTTGTATATAAATACATTTTTAATTGAAAATCTTGTGAACCCAAGAGGTTATTTTTGTATTTGATTACTTATTTTAATATATTGTTGTATTAATAATTCTTGTGTTCCTAAAAGGAAGATTTACACGCTTTAAAATAATATAATATAAACAGATAGTTAAGATCTTATTTAATTTACTTGTACCATTCGCCTTTTTATTTTAAACGTAGGCAGAGAATAATATGTAATTTTTAAGAAACTTTATCTCGATGATAAGTAATAAATTTGTTGTTTAACGTTTCCAAATATATATTACATATTCATATTAAATATTAATATATCAATATTGAAAATCATAACATGATAATGATGATTAATAATTACGTGTGATAAAGAATTCGAATAATATTAATAATGAAGTAAATATTTAGAGAAATATGATAAAAATAAAAATCCTCTTTGCATATTATAATTATATAAATAGTTAATCTTTCGTGCTACTATTATTTGATATTTGAAATTCGAGATAATAATGATAACTATAATAATAATAATAATTATATTATTATGCACAATTATGATGATATCGAAAATAAAAATTTGCATCAAATGATGATAAAAATTTTAATGCAAAAAATTTAATAAAGATATTTTGTGAAAGGAATTTTTCATTCATTAATGAAAAGAATAAATTAAACAAAATAAAAAAAAACGATGCTATTAAAAAAATATTCTTCTTCATTTCTAATCATAATTCTGTTATTCACGATAACTTTCTTTGCTCATATAAAAATTTCTCTTTCAAATCCTATTTTCACATCAACCACGAGAAATCTAAACCATTTATTGTTACTAAAAAACAGATTAACGTTATCAAATTGGTCACAAGACAATAACGATGATAACAATTACTATTATTTAAAGAATAAACGTCAAGTAGCCTCTCCTTCTTCTTCTTCACCGCCAGTAACAGGCACAGCGTTGACATCCAATGCGGTCCAACCGGCAAGCGAGCCAATTGTTTTTAGCGTGATTGGTGATTTAAGTGCAATCGTCGAGTCAAATGAAGGCCATATGTCACAAGTACAAGCAATTGACGAAGAAGCATTCGAAGATAACCTTGGCCAAGAATATAATAATTTATTGTTGGTCAATTAATTTGTTTTGAGGTGTGATTTTTTGTGGAATTATTTATTAAATTAAAGGAAATCGTCATTCTTATCTAGCCATTGTTTGTTTTTGAAATAATACTCCTGACCCGTTTATTATTATGATGATGATAATAATAACAATAATAAACACAAACTTTATTACGAAAGTAAGGCGAAACTGCGTTATTCTTTATATCGAAAAGAACCATCAAAATGATATTGCGTTTTTATCTCAAAGGAAGATCTTCTTTTCAATTTAAAGCTTTCATATTAGTGTTACTTTATGGGGTTGTGTTGGAACCATTGATAACACAATGTATTAAATCTTTTCATGTACATCATATGCAACAAAACCATATAAAGCGAACATTTTTCTAATTTTTATTATTCAATAATTATATCCCAACTGAATAATTCAATCATTTTATCGTCTGCGAAGAGATTGACACATTATTTAATTCTCATAAATAGTATTTGTATTTACGGTATTTGTAGACAGTGTCTAAAATCCGAACTGATATTATGTGCAGTGCTAGCACATTGTTGTCATATTAAAGTACGCTGACCACATTATTAGAAAACTAAGTACGGGTAATTTTACATATAATTTATAACAAAATAAATTATAAAACAACAATTGATAAATTTTGTTTATATTTTTCGGTATGATTGTAAAAAAAATTTTCTTTTTTGCATTTTTACACCAGCTGCAAAACACAGTCACCTTTCCATTACTATCTTCACTTTTTTCAAGCCAAGAGTAAACTCATAACCAACTTGGATCAAAATCATGTATTTTTTTATTTAATTTTTGTCTGGTAATCTCCTTTTTTTTCGCTTTTGTGTAGTTGCCACCTGTTTTTCATTATTTTCACAAATAACAAATTTATCCATTATTGAATACTTTTCAAAGGCTTTAATGTAAATGGTGTGAATAAAAGATGTCTTATATTTGAAAAAATTTATTGGAAAAAACATGCGAGAAAAAAAAGTAAAAAAATTTATTATTTTTATATATATAATAATGATAACAACAGTCAGACTCCTAATAGTAATAGTCACAACTCATATACAAGATTTTTTATTGCAAAAAATAAATATTATTAAATTTACAATGATCAATTACTATTCATGATTACTGTCTAATTATCATCCTGCAAACCACCAACCACCTAACCAACTATTATTATTTTAATTCTTTGAATAAACGATTAATATCTTTTGGATCAAAATTTTTACTAGTTTTATTTTTATCTGGTAGTTTACTTTTATTTTTATTTTTAGCTCTAAGTTTATAATTATTAATATTGCTACCATTTTTACCATTGTTGCCACTATCACAATGTTGGTTATTATCATCATCGTCATCATTATCATTATATTCATCTTGAATATCTTCAATAAAAGATGATAAATTTCTTTTTAATCCAACTCTAATATTATTATAATAATTATTAATATTATTATCGTTATCATTACTATTGTTATTATCATCATCATCACTATTATTATTGTTATGAGGTATTATCAATCCTTGTATATTATTAAGATAATTAATATCTCGATATTCAAGGTTCAAGACAGCAATTGGTTGATCACCTGATCTTTTCAAACTGCAAAAACCCTTTGTCATAAATTTTTTATTAAGCTTTGATTCCTTAAAACTTGCACTTATTGCCATATCTTCAAATATATCATTCAACTTCTCATTATCATTATCTTTTTGATCTTGTTGTTGTTGTATTATATTGAAATCTGGTACTTTGACAGTGTCATATTGATGCCATTCTGCTTTATAAAAATGCACAGATATTGTTCCACATCCACCTCCAATGCAATTTTTCCTTTTCTCATTCTGATCGTTATCACCATTATCATTAATATTATTATGGATATTGTAAGAATAATCCATATCATCCTCATCTATTCTTTCATCATTGTATTTAATAACTCCATTCATTGCTCCTCTCTTACCAATAATAGCATCCTTTTTTGGTGACAATGTAGTAGGAGTAGCAGTAACGAATTTAAAATAAAACTTCTTGTCTCTTTCCTTATTCCAAAATCCATCCTCAACATAATAACAATCATCATAAATTTGATAATAAGTATAGTCCCAAACTCCATCAACAAATAAATAGGCTTTTATTGGCGCTGAATATTTGGCTTTTGCATATGTGAACCTTATGCTAAATCTTTTATTCTCATCTGATTTGTTCACCAACGCATATACTATTCTGTCACTTTTTTAAACATTAAAGAATTAGTATAGAGTAAGTAGAAAACATTTAAAATTAAAAGGTAGGGACTAATTAATTAATACGAATGAACATACGTTGTATGAGTTTTTTTTGTTACTTCATCGTAAATATATGAAGGACCTGCACTAGTTATCTTTATTTAATAAATAATATATAAATTAAATACACATACATATTACGTACATTCAAATGTATCAATTAATTATACTCACTGTCTTGTTTTCTACATATTTTTCACTATACTCTTTCAATGGCTCACCATTTACAAATATTTGCAATCGAAAACCTTCTAATAACATATTTGTTGTTATTGTGGTGAATTATTGGAATGGATTGTGTTGGAAGAATACTTTTAAGGACGAATGTGTGGCAAATTGTGAAGAATTTTTAGATATTTGCCGTGGCAATTACGTTTTTTTTATATTGGTAGATCATCTACCTTAATATTAAAATATTTTCCCCACAAACAAAATATTAGCAATCATTGCCATATGAATGGTAATTTCTAGTTTAAAGAAGATAAGAATAGTTTAATTGCGGATGATGACAGACATATGATTGTGATTTTCATAACACAACACAAGAAAGCTTCGTTTTTCCTTTTCAGATACTCTTTTTTTTTCCTGCATTGGAGATAAAAAAACATGTACTGCAGAACGCTAATAACGGAATTGGGTTTATGTTTCTCTGGAACCACCCAAAACTAAACCCAAACTATTTATACAACTATTTTAAAAACATAATCAATTTTGCAAATCATCTTTAGATTCTAATTAGGAGTTTAGGATCCTCTCCTGAAAACTATTTCGAAAATTCATTCTTGGTTTAAAAAAAAAAAAATCATAAAAAATAGTTATTTAAAGGAAATCGGGGCCTGTTTCTGTCACAGTT